CTAGGTATGGTCACACAAGGCTCAATGTTTATTGGATTTGCAGGGTTAAACTCTGGTCCCTCAAAGGCTAATAGATCTTCGATGTTAAATGTATGATTAAAGTTGAAACCTTCGAGAATGTATGACATATAAGTGTTACTATTTATCTTTAATATTATTTTGAATGGGGTTGCGCTTCTACCATGTAATTTTTTAACGGTTCCTTGTGGGAACTACTCCAGAAGAATCTGTATCATAACAAAATTGTCAACCTTGAATTCTTTAAATCTTTACTTATGATCCGCATTAAGCTTATAATTAGCATTATTAAATTTTCTTATTAATCTCCTTTTGCAATTCCTGAAAATGAGATGCAAATGTAGATGCAAGAGACCCGGTGTGCATGATGAATGACAAGAATTGTGTGCTCATACAAAAGTTTTAAACAGAGACAATTTCAACAAAAAACAGACATAAAAATATACAGACTCACAAGCACACATAGATAGGGGTAAAGATGGATCAGTCACAAAATGAGAGGACATAAAGTTTCCATGTTTAAGGGAACTGGTGTAGGAGAAGCAATGAAGAAATCCTTAGCAAAAAGGGCATGGCCATAGGGAGTTTCAGCTAGGGTCATAGATAGTCTCCCAAGGGCAGCAATGTAATCTAGCAAATTTATCCAACTAGGAGAGAGGTGGTCTTTAACAGGGAAGGACAAGAAAATAGCGGGTAAAATGGATGACTCAGGAACAAAATAAGATGATGGGTCCTGACTCACAACCATAATGGGATAGCCCAAAGAGTCACTAGCAGTTATGAGACTCAAAAGATGAGGTAGAGTGTCCAAAACAGATGTGGGCACAACAATTAGAGAGGTGACAAGAAAGTATGGGATAATACTCTCTCTATCATTAAAGTCGGTACGAGGAATGGTGTGGTGAGATAAATCCAATCAAGACAGACACTCTTTTTCAAAGGTAAATCGAAAGGAGCAACTCCTACAATAGATTCCAATAAAACACGAGGAGGCTCATTTTTCCAATTAGGTTCAGAATCATTCAGATTCAAATTACTGTCTTCCGAATTCATATTAATATGCTCAATATGGTCAGGTTTAGTTATAACCCTAAGATGAGTGGCTTCGGGGTCAGTTAAATCAGGATTTAAATCAGGTAGTAAATTCAGTTAAATCGCCTTTAACTCAAGCTTATTCTCATCACCATCAGAGTTATTCAAAATTAAGTCGGAATCATTTGAAGTCAAATCAGTATGAGATATAATTAAATCAGAATCTTCCGAATTTAATCTCAACATGCTCAAGGTCAGATCGGTTTCTTTCGAGATCAAGTTAATATTATCCAGGTAGGCCTTATTCATATTTCTTTGCTTTATCTCTAAGTAAGGCTGTTGTGGTTTAGGCTCAGGTCTAGGTTGATAAGCAGAGTGGGGCATCTTCCGACTAGCATGATTGGTCGAATAGGGTACATTCCTAGAGTGGGAAGAGTCCACATATTTCTCATTAATGGTTTTAGTTATAGAGCCCACTAGACTAACGAGGTCATCTAACTTCTTTTGAAGCCCTATCGGGTCCATTGGGAAGCGCTAAGTGATACCTAATGAAGATTGGGTGTAAGGGACAACACTCTACAAGGAGAAAACACCATTATGACTCTCTATATGGTGCAGGAAACTACTGGACAGCAAGCTACAAGAGGGACTTAAGTGACAAAGGCAATTAGGAAGGTTGCTAGGTTGAGGACAGCACCTAAACACTTAAGAAACTAGCCTAATGTTCACTAAATGAGAGCAAGAAATGTGTGGAAAGCAAGCATAACAGTGAAATAGAATATATTAAATGATGATATGCATGAAATACTATAGCTTATGGATAGACAAACCCCTAGGGTGACTTCTAGTACATGTTATGCATGCCTACCATGCTCTGATACCAATATGATGTGAAACCAAACATGCAAGGATGATTAGATTAAGGAATTTGCACACTTAAGAATTAGAGCATAATAATTATATCTTAATAGTAATTTCGAATGACAACATAAAACACAAAGAGCGGTGACATAAGCTTAAGCTAAATCACATGTGTAGAAGCCCGTAAAATAATCAATTAGTCTGACATTGTATACATGAAAAATTTCAACAATAAATCCTTAGACTAACAATGAGATTAATACTATGAAGGATCTCTCGCACAACTCTATAATTTGCTAGGCTTTAGCGGAGGACTAACACGATCTCAGTGAATCAATTAAATTCACAATTAAAAGTAACGAGGAAAATAAAGAGTGAGGGAAAGAGTTCACAGAAGCCGGCAACGGATGGATAGGTTGACGTCCCACGATCATCCACGATCCGGTTGGGAGGTGTTCCTCAATTGACGGTGCCAACGTGAAGATGATGCATTCAATGTAGCTTTCCACGGAGTCGTCGATGTCCAAATTAAAATCGAAGAATGGAGATCGGAGAATGTTGGTCCGGTCCAGGGAATCCTCTACGAACCCATGATCAACATCCGGGTCGGCCATGCATGATTGTCTAAGAGAGAAAGTAGAGAGTGAGAGGGGGAAGGGATCAGATTGGTTCGACCAAGCAAAGGTGAAGAAGGGAAAAGGGTTAAATCTGAAAATATTTTCAGATCTAGTGAGTAATTAGAGAGTAATTTTCTTGAAATTTGAATTTGAAATGAGTGGGAATAAGGAAGAAAAGTGGGGATGAGATTGAATTAATTAAATCCTTAATTTGTGGGACCTAATTAATTAGAGAGGAGGGGGAAGGGGCCGGCCAAGGAGAGAGGAGAGAGAGAGGGGTTAGGCATTAAGGAGGTAGGCGCAAGCAATTAAGGGGATTGAATACTTAAATATGAAATTAATTTTAGATTTAAGTTAATTGGGGGGTTTTCCTAAATTAAAGGAGGAGAATTTAAGAAGAATTTTGAAATTCAAACATTTGAATTTGAATTTAATTCTCGCCCTAAATTAGTGGGGCTAAATTAAGAAAGCATTTATGGTGGATTCGAATTCAAAAGTTTGGAGAGAATTATGTGGTCGGCGGCTATTGTGGGGGAGACGGATGTGGTCGACGGCTTTAGGTGGTGGAGCAAGGGGCCGGCGGATGGAGGCTTCAAGCCGTCGGCCAAGGGCTTGGGCTAGGTAACTTAGATCCACGAATTGAGCACTTTCCTAATATGGATTATGTCAATTTAGGAAAGAATTTAAAATGTGAATTTGAAATCAAATTTTGAGTTGGAGCTCCCTCCTAATATTCATCCTCCACTTTTGGAAAGAGGCAAGACAATCAATTTTGGATCCATGGGTTGGGAAGGCCGACGAGTAGGGTTTGGGGTGGCATTTGGCTAAGGAGGAAGGGGTGTGGGTTAAGTGGAAGGGATCTTGTTGAAGAGGACCGGCGGCTTGGGGACTTGAAGTGGCCAGCGGGTGTTTGGGGAAGAAGAGGTGGCCGGATGTAGGGGAAAGAAAGATACGATAGGAAAATACTACGAGTACTAACCGCGAGTCCTGGAATCCACCAGCGGCTGACAGGTGATTCGTGGCCCTCTCCTAGGATTTCTCCTCTCAAGAACTCACAAAGAGATCAAGAACAAGAAAGCTGAAATTTTTATTCATATTTATCATTCATCCTTAGCAAAAATACAATGACTAGGCTTTCATATATAGGCCTCCAAAACACAAAATATAAAAGACACAAATGCCCTCAGGCTACAACATGACAAAAATCCTTCATACTGGTACAAGTGGAAAATTGAAAAATAAATAAAAGAAATGCACTAAAACATCATAAATAGAGACTATGAAACATAACCGTCGATCTATGATTTCGCCGATGGTAAGTACGTGAAAATCTATGGTGGATGTCCTCATTATATCCTCTCTGGTCGATGCACCCTTGGGTAACTTCTGTTGCTGCTCCTTGGTCACGAGCGATAATGCTTGGTGCTCAATTTTGGGCTAAATAGTTGGATGGTTTCGCCATGTTGTTATACTCAATGTTGATATGGCTACTTATGAGTTCAATAACTACCTATATCCTTGGTTGCTACAAACCAAGCGTATACCTAAATGACCTCTCTCAAGCCTTAGGTGAGATTTGCTTGACCAGCAGCCAGCTTCAGGTCTTTCATTTCCGACATCTCTCTTTGGAACTTGACAATAAAATTCTGCATGGACTCACCTAACTCCTGTCTTTGAGAGTGCTTTCAAGCTCTTGAGGGGCTTCAAGGTGCTCTAGAATAATGCGAAAAAATATATTTTTAAACTTGACAAATGACGTGACAACGCCAAGGGGAAGGCCTGAGAATTACTTGGGGGATAACTCCTTTGAAGATTAGATTTAATTTTAACATGTCGTTGACCTTCATTAGCAAGGTGGTTGAGTCAAAGTAGACAACATGATCGGCAGGATCTGACTTCTCTTGTTATGGTTCTAGGTGGGATATTTTGAGTTTCGCTGGTGCCTAGGCTTCCATTATCTCCTTGTAAAATGTATTGGTTAGCTACCACTCCCCTTTTCTCCTTTGCCAATTTTCGCTAGTATGATTGTGGGTATCATCTATCACAGGTGTTGAGGTCAATGCTCTTCTGTTATGTTGTGCTCTTTGACATACTAAGTTCATTGATCCTTCCAACTCGTTCAAGTGCAGATTCTCTCGATGGACTCGCTCCAATGCTCCATTTTATCATTCTCATGATTCTCTCCTTTATCTCCATCAAGTCATGATGGGTTGCAAAGTTTTGGTCGCTTTATCTTCTCGTGTTCCATCTCATGTACTGCTTGACTTCTTATTAATAACATCTGTTTAAGCTCTCTTCTAGGAGAATGTTGAATCCAAATTTGTCTGTGGTGATACATTGATCTTACTATCAAGATTAGCTAAGGTGACACATAAAGAAAGAAAGAGTGGTGTGGCAAATAAGAAGAAATTTATCTATGCTCAATTTCATTCTCAAGTGGCTCAAAAATGGTTCCAAAAATACCTCATAACATGTTATTTATAGTGATGGGAAGGCTACAAGAAATGCTATATCTAAAAATAAAGTAGTACAATGCTTGAATTTTGCAAACATATGGACTAATTGGGATTAATAGTGTCTTGATATATTTGACTTGGCTTGGGTTTTTGCTAGGGCATTTGTCGAGTGACTTTGGCCAGTGCCTCTTAAATCAAGGTCCTGATTGAGAAGGCATGGTCGCCACAACTGAGTCTGAGTAGGTGAGCATCTCGTGTTGATGGGGTGAGCGGTCCTTTGGTGGAGGCAAGCTCCTTTGAAATGATTGCCTTGAAAAGGAGAGTCATTCTGGTTTGAGTCCTGCTGAGTCGAGTTTTATTTGGACGAGTGCCTAACCTTATCAAATCTTGTTAAAGTGGGTTCTCCTCTGGGCATGCTTTGGATGAGTGCTTCTTTGAGCTGATCCCTACGAGTTGACTGTGCCTCCATATTGAGCTGTACAGTATACACTATTAATTATAAGGGAAATTAATGATGATGATAAAGCATTGATAATTAATCATATACAATGTGTAAAATACTTCCTGGCTTGTTTAGCATCATGAACTGGAAGTTGAAGTACATGTCCTAAACATTTTTTTTTTAAGATTTTTAATTGTTAATACTTAACAAGACAGAGTACTAGTGAAAATTTGCTCAATAATAAAAAAAAAATCTAAAGTTTTGACCGACTGTTTATAAAATTTTGTTGCCGTTTCTTCCTCTTGTTTTTTCCTTGAATTTTTTACTTAAAACTCTTAAGATGTTTGGCAGAGTTTTTTCAATTTTGTTTTCCATTGACTTGAATACTCACTAAATTGTAGCGCAAGAAAAGCTGCCAAAATATAAAAGGGATCTGATTTTTGGTTCATCATAGTGGCAAGGGGGATCTTCCATGATTATGTAGCTGATGGCGGTCATCCTGGCATGCAACATTTGAAATTGCCAAATCAGATGTTAGCCAACTGATGAGCAAACAATCTTCTTGAGCGCCATATGAAATTGCTCATGGAGAGGAGAGGAGAGATGCAGAATCTTGCTTTCGATGACAAGATTCATCATTTCATGGGTACTCCATCAATGCCACAAAAAGCTCATTCATCACCATCGCTAGGAATACCTCTGCAGGTAATATCAACGTGAGTTTTAAATGCTCTGTTTGCTGAAGTGGAATATGCTTATGTTACAACTGTTCGATGTGGGACAGCAAGCACTAATCCTAATCTGTCCTTGGAGTCCAGGATGAAGACATGATGCACTCGGAAAGAGCAAAAAAGCTGTGATAGCCAATTGGCTGACTTGTAAAATGCATTTAGGTGCAGTTGCTTTATCATAATTATTGGCTATTTCTCCCTCTGAAGTAGAGCATGTGGTTAAAACTATTTCACGACTCCTTCAATTCAGAAAAATAAAAGAGTTACAAGAGTAAAAAGGAATGAAGCGGCAATGTTATTGTAGTGCAGTCAACTACAATTACAGATGATACTTGTTCCTCTTGCGCAGCTACTTTTGTCTGCCGAAATTCATGTTGATGAGAGAAGGCTGTGGTTCAAACTTTAGAGGAATGCCAAAACTTATTAGTTAAGTATACAGAGCTTTTTTTGTTATTGATTTTGGTTCAACTTCTTTAGTCATGTTTTGTTTGGGACGGAGCAACTTTCTAGTACATGAATTTTAATTTTTTCACTAAAAATTTATTTTAAGAAACAGTAAGAAAGTCGTCCGAAACGAAATCTCAATTGAGTTAGATCAGCTTACCTGGAAGTACTTTCAATTTTGAAAATAAAAAAACATTTTAGGTCGGCAGAAGGAATGGTCTGATGCAACTTGACCTTCCCTATCAAGGAATTATTATTCTAAATAATTAGTAGCTTTCCATTGCGAATAAAATTCAGTCCAGGAACCATTCAATGGCCTAATAAAATCAAAATCAAAATAGTCAACTAACTCAATCGCAAGGTGATGATTAGTAAAATAATTAATTTAACAGATTAAGACAAAATTCCAGAAAAAAAGAGTAGAACATAGTTCGCAGGAGAATCTTCAATTAATTTCAGATATGTTCATTTATCAATCAAAATTTGAAATGCCGATCTGAATGAATGAATTGAAAAGGGGATTTTTTTTTTTTTTTAATAATTCTTTAATATTTGGGCCTAATAGGCATCAAATCCTTCTTAGCTTTGAAAAGATGTCTATCACTACGTCTGGGTGATATAGTGCTGTTAAAATCATTATAGCATCACCTTTCTTATGTTTCGCTCCAGCCTAAATTATAATACTTCATATTGGATCAAAATTAATTAATTTGATTGAAAAGCATCACCAAATGAAGACCAATCTTAGAGGGATTTTTTTTCCTTAAATTTATGTAAGTCGCTTTTTTGTTACTATAATTTGAAGTCAAATTGCACTTCTAATAGATTTAATAATTAAGTCACTTTTGTTATAAATTATCCCATGTTTTTTTATCTCTTAAAAAAATATAGTAATTAATGAATAAAGTTCTGTGCACACCCAACTTAAACCAAAAGCTGCAAAATATAAACAAGAGGGACATAAAATAAGATTTATCCCAACCTCGCTTCAGTACTCCTTAGGTTTCATAAGTTGATTTTTAACTTAGTTTTGATTTTATAAAATTATTTATCAGTTTAACTTTTTAGTTTTTTTTTTTTTCCTTTTATATTTTTTCTCATATCAAGATAAGGATATCTTGCTCAACAAATTATAAGATATTAATGGAGATGAAACTCAATATTGGATCCGAATTTATCCGTAGATGGAAACCAACTTTACTAGTAAATAAACTCTAGATAAGAACTAGACAACTAATGGGGGTTCAGATGAGTATGGAGAGAGAGAGAGAGAGAGAGAGAGAGAGAGAGAGAGAGAGAGAGAGAGAGAAATTCAAAGTTTACCAAAAGAGCAAAATGTAGGGAAAGATCTAGAATATGCCTCTTCATCACTTATTTATAAGGCTTAAAGGATTACATGGATGGCTAAACCAAAAAAGTTATATATAAAAAAAAAAGTTTATTATGACTATATTCAATGTGTGACTAGGCTGGTAGCTGTTCACATGGCTCTCTACTTCTAACATGGCCCTCTATTTTAGGCTGAGTCCCCCGGGTAAGTTTTCATGGGTGAATGTGCTGAGTGATTCCTCGAGATATAGCAGGCAAGACGAGTCTTTGTGGGCAAGTCCTCTGAATGGGTTGTGAGTCCTTAAAGCTATGTATGGACCTTTGAGTGCAACTAGGGAGTCCCTTTGGGCAAAGATGACTATGAGCCGAAGTTTGACTGAGTATAGAAGGTGTGCACTTCTTGATGTTTGCACTTTTTATAATTGGATCAAGGGTTTTCAGCGGCAGCCTATTGGTAGCCTATTAGCTTGGATGATGATGAGTGACCTTGGAAGATCAAATTCTACCAAGTTATGTGATTCTTAATGTAACTCCTCAGAATTAAATTAAGAAAAATTATATATTTTATCTTCTTAATTAATCAATAAGAACTTTTATAAATCATCAAAATAATAAATTTATATCAAGTGAAAACAACTAAGAATTGCATAGCTTAAAATATTGCTATATATTCATTCTCCTAAAATCAATATACAATATAAGGAGATCAATACAATTACAACACTATCACAAACTCTTAACTACAAAAGAATAATATAAAATATAAACAAAATTAAAATAAAGCCTAAGGATCTCTGTCAATCTCACTCTAACAGTCCTGACTCCTTCGCTGACTTGCAATCATTAAAATTCACATAATGAGCCAAAAAGTCTAATAGTAAACCAATCACACCAAAGCTTTCAACACAAGGCTAGAAGAATCAATATGCATACTTCATTCAATCAATAAAATCAATCTCTTCAATGATCATTTATCATTTGTAAAGCTCAAAATGATCAATAATAAAAGTAAAAAAATCATTACTGATACGTCCACAAAAAATTATCTTGATCGGGCACGAATCTCAATGCAAAATCATGTTGGAAACTTCCGAAGTTAAACTTAGGAGCATATAAACTCCGATTTCAGCAAATTTACAGTTGAACTGAGCGTCTCGGAAATACAAACTCAACAACACCAAATTCGACTCAATTCGAGCCCAAATGAGTCCAAATCAAGGACCCGAAGCACTGTTGGAAGGTTCAAGCAACAATTTGGATTACCAAATGGTTTCCAAACATAACAAGCTTATATTTGAATTGAGTGGCTCGATGAGACGAATCCAACGAGCCCAAGATCACTGAATTCCAACATCACTAAGACATTCAAATGTCCATCAAACGGTTCATGATCAAGGGATTCAACATCGGTCGTCCATCCAACCACTCCCAAATTGCCCTTGATCCTCCATCTATTAATGGGAAATGTCATTCCCAAAATTTATAAATAGAGCTCCCTATCCTCTTGAAAAAGGACCCCTTAAGCCTAAGAAAAAAAGAGAGATATAAGAGATCACTCTTGCTTCCTCGACCACCGCCGGAGTTTCGCTGGACCACTGCCGGACCTTCGCCAAACCACAACCTATACCGATCGTCCCGGACGATCCGACTTCGTCCGGACGAACCTGGAGCAAAAAAACTGATATTACACCACCACTTGAGGCCCTCACCTCCGCCGGACCACCGCCTGACACTGTTACTCCGTCGGATGACCACTTGAGGCCCTCACCTCCGCTGGACCACCGCCTGATGTCATTGCTCCGCCGGACCACCGCTTGACGCCGTTGCTCCGCCGGACCACCACTGAAGGCCCTCACCTCCGTCAGACCACCGTCTGACGTCGTTGCTCCGACGGAACACCACTGGAGACCCTCACCTCAGCCGGACCACCGCCTGACGCCGTTAATCCACCGAACTACCACCTGAGGCCCAAACTTCTTCCGGACCACCACTTAAGGCTCTGTGCTCCACCAGGCCATCACCTGAGGCCCAAATTTCTACCGGACCACCATCTGAGGCCCGAAATTCCATAGGACCACAACATGAGGCCCGGACTTTGTCGGACCACCACTTGAGGTACAGACTTTCACCAGGCCACCACCTAAGTCTCAAACTTTCTCCGAACCATCACTTGAGGCTTTGTGCTCCACCAAGACACCACCTGAGGCCTAGACTTTCACCAGGCCACCACTTAAGACTCGAAATATCGCCGAACCGTCACTTAAGGCCCTTGTGCTCCACCAGGACATCACCTGAGGCTCAGACTTCTTCTGGACCACCACTTAAGGCCCTGTGCTCCACCAGGCCACCACCTAAGGCCCGGACTTCCACCGGACCATCGCTTGAGGCCCTGTGCTTCACAAGGCCATCACGTGAGGCCCATACTTCCGCCAGACCACTACTCGAGGCCTTGAGCTCCACCAGGCCATCACTTGATGCCTAGATTTCTCCCAGAATTCTGTCGACCTCCCTCACCAGACAACGATTTTTCTGACCATGGTCTCCTGCCAACTATGGTCTTTCTGACATCCGTTACCTATAATGGTCCTTTCGACCTCCATCACCAGATAACGATCTTTCTAACCCTGGTCTCTTACCGACTATGGTCTTTCTGACCTCCATCACCTACTACGGTCATTCTGACCTACATCGCCAAACAACGGTCTTTCTGACCCTGGTCTCCTGCCAACTATGGTCTTTCTGACCTCTGTCACCTATAATGGCCCTTCCAACCAAACAAATATGTCTATATTGATTATTGTAACTCCCACCATGTAATGTGCTCTATATGATGTATATTTGTAACATCAAGCTAAGGCCTTCTCTCTAAGAAGGGCCTTATTTCTAATCGACTACAAATATTAATGGATTCATTCAAACTGGGCCAGGCCCCATAGTTTTTCCCCCTTTTCAAGGGTTTCCACGTAAAAACTCTGGTGTCTCTTATGAGTGCTACACCCTCTCTCTTATCTGATTGTGTGCTGGATCTTCGTACAATGCTAAGATGTTAAACTATATATTTCTCTTCCGCCACGAATACTCCAGGTCGCAATAATTACTATGAATCTAGGAATCAATAACATGCATGAGAATAAGTAATCAGTAAAACAGCGGTACTATAATCATTCAAGTTTCAGTAAAAAGAATCATAGGCACACATGTGTCAGTATTATCAGTCTTATCCTCTTACATCCATCCTATCAATTATATGCAATCAAAACTTGTACACATTCATATGTTATCTATGTATACATATTACTATTATATTTATCAATATTATTAGTATATACATGCATTAATATCTGGTTCAGTAAGGCATGACATCTAGCTTTAATATGATATTTTTATCCTTTCATATGTTCTTTCTTTATATCATTTTTTTTCATCTTTTATCATTATTATCATAGGTAGCTTCAATAATTATTAAGAATCATCACCCTCTGCCCATCGGCATAATTCAGTCATCTATTATAAGCCACAACCAAGATAACACCATAAACCATCTTTAAAGGAAACCAACCTTTCATGCTTATACAAATGTCATAATCAAAATGTAGTATGATATAGTCAATTATGTTCAATACAGATAAATCATGAGAAAATATATTTTTATCGATTTAAGAGAGAAGAAATATGTCAAA